GGCGAGGAGGTGGGCCCTGTTCTGATTATGATTATTTTCCAGAGGGTGGGGTCATTTTGGGTTGTCACGCCCGACCGACCTGGCGCCTATAACTGACACGGGGCTGGCGCCAGCAGCCGCCACTACAGCGAGGCGCCTCAGCAGATAGGCGTCACACGATAGGCGCCGTATGCCCAGATAAGCCCGGGCGTGGCGGGCTGGAGAGGTCCTCTGGCCGCCGCCCGCCCCGCCTCGGCACCCAAGTACTTTGGCCCAATTTCAGCGCGCACTACGCTCACCCGCCTCACCCGCCGGTGGCCCATAAGGGATCTCGTAAGGGATGTTGTTTGTTCAGAGGCGAGTGAATCCCTCCGCCCAGACACGGATCCCATTCCCAGGGATCCCCGCCCCGCCCGCTGATCCCCGAGCAGACAGACAGCGCACCGCACAAGGCGGCGCACGCTGCACTGTACCGCGGGCTGGGTGGGTACTTTCTATAATATTTTAAGACGACGCAACCCCGCAGCCACGCACAGCCACCCGGACGTTTTTAGATCGTCGTGCTCCCAGCCGCCCCCCTGCCACCCTGGGCCGAGCCAGCACAGAGGCGGAGCACACCAGGTTGCCGCCGGGGGCCACCTGGGGGGCCCAGCTGCCCAGCAGGAAGGAAGCCGTCCGGCAACGACGCGACCCTAAAGAAGGGCCCGGCCCCGCCAAGCAGCTGCCAGCATACGGCTCCGCCGAGGAGGAGACGACACGGCAAAGAGCTGCAAACTGCGTTCAAGGTCGGCCGTGCGAACATGCCATGCAGCACGACGGGTCTATTTAGTCAAGGGTGCGGGTGCGCAGGAAAGAGAGGGCGAAAGAGAGGGGGGTGGAGCTAGAGGAATTCAGGAAGTGTTTGTGTCAGAGAGAGACAGAAGAAGACAGAGAGGGGGGGGAGAGAGAGAGAGAGAGAGAGGCCTTTGATAGCCCTCACTGTGCGGCATGGCATTTGGGGCGTGAATTCTTGGCCGACTTGGCTCGACGCACACGCCATCGCAAGACGGAGAAAACGGGCCCAAATCCCCGAGCAGGCCGCCGCCACCGCCGCGGAGGTAGAGGAAGGCGAGCGATCCAAAAAGCCTGCAAGGCCATCGGTCCGGCGCGAGCAGCTCCCGCCAGCCGGACGGGGAAAAGAATGGGCATGTCGAGGCGGGCTGTCACGGCGCGGCCGACCACCCACCCGCCAACATAAGGCACGCCCGATAAAGGAACCTCGTCGAAATCGGGAGATGGATTTTCTACTCTCAAGCGCACACACACACACACTCACGCACACACAGGCACAGACGCGCGGGTCTGTTCGAACGTTGGCGCCACACCCGCCCGACCGGCACACACGGCGGGGTACCAACACACCGGCTGCAGCGCGGTTCAGCCTCCACTCGCGACGGCCCTCTTCCTTTCGTCCGGACCGCGAACCGCCCCCACGGCGATGTGCTCGCGGACGCGGTGTGCCCGTCGTGGCCCTGGAGGCCCTGCGCGCGGCGAGGAGGTCCCGGCCCCCGGTCTCTAACCCTCAGACTCGCGCGGCGCGGCTCGTGCACGGCCCTGACGCCCCGCCGGCCGCGGCCACACTGCGGCGGAACCTAGCCGGCCCTGCCCGCCGGGGGAGCGGGAGGGGGAGGGGTGGAGTGGGGGGAGGACTTGGCGGCGCCGTGGTGCTGTACTGTACTGGCCAACGAGCGCCGCCGCGCCCCGCCGCAGGGGGCCCGCGGTTGCCCCCTCCTCCCCCTTCCCCCACCATCCACCCCAAAACACGCGTGCCACCCTCGGGCGGCGGCCTCCTACACAAGGGCATGTGCAATGCAGCGGCCTGGGGGTTCAAATACCGAGGGCTTCAAAAGCAGCAAGCAGCACCCTGTGCGCCGGGACGGGTGGGGAGCGCCGTGCGGGTAGGCCACCGCGGGAGCGTGGGACACCCCAGGGGAGCCGGTGGCCTACCCAGCTGGGCGCTCTGCGCTGAGTCGGGAGGGGAGCGCCTCGGCGGTAGGCCACCGCGGGAGCGTGGGACACCCCAGCGGAGCGGGTGGCCTACCCAGCTGGGCGCTCTGCGCTGAGTCGGGAGGGGAGCGCCTCGGCGGTAGGCCACCGCGGGAGCGAGGGACACCCCAGCGGAGCCGGTGGCCTACCCAGCCTGGGGCTCTTCGGCTCTCCCGCGCTAGGGTGTCCTCCTGCAATAAAAGTTTGAGCGCGATTTGGGTATGGTCCTGATCTCGGATTTTCAACGAACGTGAGGCTTGTTTGAAAGGTAGTTTGTTTGACTTGACTTGCATATTGGGTTGGGACACCATTCGCCGAGATGTCACCATGAAGTGGCATGAGAAATGCGGCAAATATTTCTCCACTCCTTTTATAGACCTTGTTCCGTCGCCCCCATCTCCGACGTGCTGCTGGTAGCACGCTCGTCACCACTCCCACCGCCGGCGGGGCCCGCCCCCAGAGGTAATCAGTTTCCCTGGCGGTGCGGCCCGGCCAGCCCCCGCCGCCCCCAGCCGCCCCCGCTGCGGACTGGACGCCGGCAACGCGCACTTAGCGGCGCGGCCGAGGCGGCGACCGGCCGGCCGGCAGCGGGGGCGGAGGGGCGCGGCGGTGGGGGTAGAGAGGTGGGCCGGCCCGCAGGGCCCGCAGGCCTAATGTGATTCCACGCAGATTGCGGCCACTTCTGCCCTCTTCGTCGCACTCCGGACGACGACCAAGCGAGCGAGCGAGCGAGCGAGCGAGCGAGAGAGAGAGAGAGAGAGAGAGAGAGAGAGAGAGAGAGAGAGAGAGAGAGAGGGACGTGGAGTGAGCGGCGCTATGCCGTTTCTGGCTAGTGCGGAAGTAAGGGAGGAGGGAGGAGGGCGTGAGCGGTGAGTACAGTGAGCGGTACAGTACGCAGTACAGCACACTGTGCGGCACCACCGAAGAGCGGCCCGTCATGATGCAGATGGACTGAAGCCGTGATCGAGCGCGAGCAGGCGAGCACGTTTGGGACGTCCGACGGCACGGCGCACGCACGCACGCACGCACGCCGCCCACTTCCGCGCGCAGAAGGAAGGTATAAAGGGGCAGGATGGGAAGAACAAGCGAGGAGAGATGGGGGAGGGGGGGGGGAGAAAAGTCGCAGTGGATTACGGTACGGGGCTGCACACGAACATGGAGCCCGGATACGTTAGGGAAGGAGTGGGGGGGGCTTCCACCCTTGAGCCACGGGGGGTGCCCGGAAAGAAAGAAGAGGTGGGGGTGGTGGAGACAGAGATAGTGCCGGGGGAGAGTTTTCAACCTGATTTGATCCCGAACAGCCCCATCCATATCCATCTTGGGCTGCTGGTGATAACCGTAGCTCATCCTTGGTGCTCTAGGAAGCGCCCCACCTGCCTGGATGGCCCCCGGCGGCTGCAGCGGCGCGGCCTTGCAGGCTGCACTGGGTGCGCCTCCATCAGCAAGAAGAGGTCGGCCGGGGCCAAGGTGACTCACCTTGTAAACTAGTCGGTCCATTCTGCTGGGGCTGCTGCGTTGACTGTTGCTGCTGCTGTGGTTGCTGCTGTTGCTGCTGTTGTTGCTGTTGTTGTTGGAGCTGCTGTTGCAGTTGTTGCTGGAGCTGTTGCTGCTGCTGTTGTTGTTGTTGTTGCTGCTGCTGTTGCTGTTGTTGTTGGAGCTGCTGTTGCAGTTGTTGCTGGAGCTGTTGCTGCTGCTGTTGTTGTTGTTGTTGCTGCTGCTGTTGCTGTTGTTGTTGGAGGTGTTGCTGTTGCAGGTGCTGTTGAAGTTGCTGTATGTGCTGCTGGTGTTGAAGCTGCGGAGTCAGCTGTTGGGGCGCCAGCTGTTGTAGTAATGACTGTTCCTGTTGGGGTGGCAGGTACGACTGCTGCTGTTGTTGCAGCTGCTGCAGCTGGTGTTGGTGGTATTGCTGCAGGTGCTGGGCCTGCTGCTGCTGCTGGATCTGCTGGACCAGCTGCTGCTGGAACTGCTGCTGTTGATGGAACTGCTGCTGAGGAGACAGCACGGTATATGGCGGGGACACGTCGGCTCCTGAAACAGACACGGAGAGATGGATTAGTTACGTGCATTTGCATTATCAGCGACTGCAAATAACTGATGATAACATTTGTTTCGTCTATTGTTTCTAAAAGCTATCGAAACATAATGTTTTTAAGTTTTGAATAATCATCCAACCCTTTTACTTGAATCAGCAGCCGTTTTGCTAAGAGCAACACATTGGCTGTCCTTTACACAATAGAGCTGATGCCTTTTCTTTCTCGGCTGATGAGCGTTATCATGTTCCCAAGAAGAAGCACTTGGAATAGGAAGCCAGACATTCGTTCCCACAACTAATAATCCAACGCCGCAGCTTATAAAAAGGTTGGCTGAGTAAAAATAAGTCGATATCCCAACCAAATTTAAGTTGTCTCAACTATGTTTTTTTCTTTTGATTACTGTATCACGAACGAATAAAAGTGTCATAAATTGGAGCAGAGAACCTTGTATTGAATCAATTCTTCTCGACTTCTTACAAGAACCGTAATCTGTGAAAAAGCCAGGTCATGATTATTATTTTTTCTGGCAAACTTGGGGAGTGGAAAAGTAGGAGGAGAGGAGGCATGAACCGCTTTAGCGCCACGAAGCGTGAAGCGGACGGGCCAGCGCATGGCCAGACATGGCGAGGAGGGGAGGGAGAGGAGGGGGAGGCCAACACACGTGCCGGTATTCAGCTGCTGGCTTTTTCGACACTTCTCGAAAGGGCATGCCAAAGCAAAGGCTTGCGGAAATAAATTCTAGAGGAGGAGCCTCGGCAAAGAGAACGAGAGAGCGGAACAGCCAGAAATAGAGAGCGAGCAAGAGAGAG